TATTAATCCAATGAATTTCTAATTTAAATAGCAATAAAAATGCGAGATTACTGACTTGTCTAGTGTAACACTGACACCTTCCTGATTCAGCAAATAGCAGAGTCGGTTGGGTGTACTTATAACAATATCTGTAAAAAATGGTAACCGTGGAATCATGTGCATTATAATTCTTACTTATAACATTATTTTAAAAAAAAATTAACTGTACGAGGCTGGAGTCAAACCAGTAAATTGTTACTAACCAAGTGAGTGCTCTTAAAATTAAAGCCAGAGAAATAATAAAAAAACATTTAAATTTGTATTACTAAAATTTGAAATTTAAATTAACTCTGACATTAAACCTTGTTTATTTATGGCACTGGTAATGTTTAAAACTCAACTTTAGACGGGAGACGATAATTACGTAAACATACGCTGAATTGGCCTACTGGGTTATAAGACACTCTCATAGCTGGTCTAGTAGAGTCGAGTAGGTGTGTAGAGTCGAAAATGTGACTGTCAAAATATAATAAAAATATTCAGTTATTCATTAATTTCAGTTATTATTGTAAGTTAAAATTTTTATTAATTTTAGTGTGTAGGCACATATTTATTATGGTTTTTGATAAATCTTTTCTAATTTTGCAAAACTCAAAAACTGATTGCCAAAGCTAAATTAATCTGAAGATGTTCCTGTAAAACCTAAGATCCCAACTGTTCTGTAATCGTTATTCATTTGGAATTTTTACCATTACGCACTCTGTACGTTTTTGGTTTGAATTGTATGATGCATTTAATACATTTTTTGGCAAATAATCTGTGTAAGTAAAGATTATAACTAAAGATTCATAATCTCAACGACCCAGCAAGTTTCTACTTGAGAATACTAAATCGGCAACTGGTATATCGATTAATGTAACCACCAAACAGCAGCTTTCAGAAAAACAATTGAAGGTTTTGGATATTTATTCTAATTCAATAATACTCGTATTTTGATTGATATTCTCAAAAATAAACGACGACAGAACGAAATATAAACAACGGTTACTATTACAGTTTCGGGCATGATTTTTTTTTAATAAGCTTTATATTTACATTGTGATTTTTTGCCCAAAGTTATAAAGAATATGTTGTAGTAGTCCAATACGCTACCAAAACTTTTCGTTAATGTAATCTACATTATTTAAGGATTTTGTTATTTTAAAAATAATAAGTGATCTAATAAAAGAAGAAAAAAATTGCAGTCGAATTATTTTAACTCGTTTTCGTCATACAGGCGGTTACAATATGGTTAATGATATAATACAGTTAATGTAGAAACTATTAGTAAATTCAATTACCTTACAACAATTATATTTGACTAAATACTACGTTTTATTATAGACACTAAAGACGTACCCATTAAATACGTTTCATTTAAAGATAACAAAGGGAAAAGTTGTAAAAACTAATTAATTCATTATATAAATAGGCACGGCACATATATGTCAATTATGAATTCCATTGATTAACTATTAAGATAATTAAATTCAACGTAATCAATTTGATTTACAGACTCCTCCTCCTTAACAAATATACAGACTCCTCCTCCTTCTGTTTTGTCCCTTGAGAACTGGCTAGCTAGGGTTATTAGAAGAATATACCCATATTCTTCTAAAAACTGTAGGTTATTCTTTGATTTGGTTATCCAGGTTTCCGAAAAACAACACAGCAAAATCATACTTCTATTACGTGAATTTTATTTGTAATGCTACTTATATTTTTAAATTAAATTATATTCGTTTTTTTGATATGATATTTAATATGATATTTTTTTCATTACGGATAAGGAGATGACACATTCATAGAAGGTATTTTTGTATTGGTGATATTTTCATTGTGTTTGTGTTGCTTATTATTAAAATTGTTTCTAAATGTTGATTTAATTACTGTTGTTTTCGTTTTTAGGTAATTTTCTCTTTGTAATTTCCTACGCTTTAGGTCTGAATAACCAACATACTCAGTTACACATAGTTCAATATTTTTAAAGTATTTTATACAGTCTACAATGTATTTTGTAACTTTTTTGGTCAGTAGTTAAATTTTTAAAGGTCGTCTTATGCCTCTTCTACCTGTTCGGCAAATATCATTTATGTAACCTGTTAGGTGTAATCCAACTATGTTTTAAAATATGTTCAAAATCATTTCATGTAAGTTGTTTTCAGATCTCGTTTATAGACGTTTTCATTTGGTATCGAGATTAATTAAGGTCATATAAAACAATATATTTTTTGTTATAATTTCCCTTTTCTTGTACTAATATCATTTTTATATCATTTATCATTTAATTCACTCGTTATAATTTTATTATTTACTATACTTATGCTTTTACACTCTGTTTGTTTGTGATTCTGTAATTCTTGTTTAGGTTGTAAGGTTTCGTTTTCCAAGGCAAATTTTCTATTTGTATTTCTGTCCACCTGTGATCATAATGATTGAATTTCCGTTTGAAAGTTAACATGCTGCCTGTTTACATTTATTATACAAGTTTGTAGTAGTTTTATTGTATCAGATAATTCTTGATAACTAGTTTCTTGCTTTTGTGTTTGTAGAGCTATCAGACCTTTTAGCCTATTTCTGAGCCGTTTTTCTGAAAGTAATTTTAAAATCGGAATCGTTAATTGATTGGTTTGTCAACGTGTTTCCGTGTGGTAAGGATTCATCTAAATTCATAATACTGTCCTCATCGGGGAAATTTCTGGCTGGTGTTTTACGTAATTTTTTTGTAATTAATATTCACGAGTTGGTTCTTTTTAGTCTAATTTTTCGGTGAATCCGCCTTTTATTTTATTACTTAGTTTATTTGTGAAGTATTTGAGTTATCATGTTTTGGTTGTTTTGATTTTCACTCTTGACAAATCCAAGTTGACTTATGTTCTATAGTCATTGTTTTTGTATTATATAAGCGCTTTTCCGAAACATTTACACTTTGCAAAAATACCATTTTATAAAATTTCGTCGAAATCCAATTAAAGAGAATAATTTAATAACATAAGAAATAATAATAGTCATTAAACAAAAGGTGTACAAATACCACGGTGTCTGCATTATTACAGAGGCGTCATTTGTCGTTATCTGCCTGTTTATCCAATTTGATTATTTTTTTTCTAGAAACTATATGTTAGTGATAGTTTATAGAAACTCTCAAATGTTACAAAATCAACTTAATTGTTTGTTTAAAGAAGAACAATTGTTACAATGAAACCAATCTGAAAACTTTGTATGAAAGACCAAAAGACATCAACGAAACCAAGAATTACTTTATTATTTTATTTACATCATTATTACAACTTGTACGAATTAACATGAATCTATTTTTCTTCGAACAAAACTTCAGAAAATTTAGTTTTTTTATTTTCTTAAATTCATATCAATGAAGATTATCTTTAAATGGATTTTATACAATAATTATACGACAAAATGTGAATTTTCTTCATAAAATTTACTAATTTGATTTTGAAACAAGATTTATGGAATTTTTCCCATGGCATTGGTTTCATTGGAATGAAGTTTTAGAATGAGTGCTATTATGCAATAAGAAACAGCTTCGAACCCGAAGTCAAGCACAGCGCTAGTGTGATGTAGAGGTTCAATGAAACAAAACGTTTCTTACCTCTTCATATAAGTTTTATTCGATTGATCCTCTATGCTGTGACAGCTGTTTTTATCCTTTAGGTACGGAATTCTAACACGAATCTTATTACAAAAAATCTAACTCCTAAATCGTAACTATATTAGTTGGAGGATGCAGTATACTACTTTTCATGTTTTCTGTAGAGTCCTCTTCCTCGACAAAGCTTACACCCCATTTTTGTATTTTTATTCAAAAAGGCACATTTAACACGTTTTGCAGTGAGAAATTGTACAAAAATGACGGTACAGGGTTTAAAAGATAATTTTATGCCGCCTTCCAGTAAAATCACCATCTCGAAATTAATAAATCATAGGAATAAACCTTCATTTTAATATAAAACCAAATTATGATTTTTTATATAATTTTACAAATTGTGTAAACTTAGAGAAAAATTACTTCAACTAATGGAATAATTCTTATTCTTATAAATATAATATATTCAATTTTGATTATAGCGACGATTTAATGAGAGAATTTTTACACTTTTGACTTCAAATAAAATTTAATTTGTCGTAATAGGAATTTTTCTACTATTTTGAGGTCTGTTGATTTAGGTAAATAAACATTTTTATTATGGGTATCCTATGTGATAACCACCAGATCAAGTTCATTTTGCCGATGTAGTTCTCCCAGTTTTTTTAAACTAACTAAACAAAAAAAGTGCAATACCAGTACAAGAAAAGTGTCAAGTAGTATTTTTTTTAGTTGGTTAAAAATAAACCACAATAAATAGATACTAATACCACACAAACGACGTTACAGACAAAAGCTAGTAAACAATAACAGTTATTAAGTAAAAAGATAAAATTACCACGGGACCTACATCATTACAAATAAGTTGTTTTTGTTATTTCCAATTTGACTATTATTTAAACAAATGTACTATTAACGATGCCCTAGACAAAACAGGACTTGTTTCATAAACAAAACTATTTCTATTATGTTAGGGATTTTAATTTTTAAATACTCATCTAATGGTAGAGACCCATTGTGTGAAAATCGTTTCTTGAAATTGTCTAAAGTTCATATTCTGTTGTTTTTAAAACGTTAATAATTGGCAAATATTTGAAAATAATTTATTTACAAGATATTATTCATATAGTTAGAAAAAAACACATATTCTAAAAGGTGAATGAATCTACTCAAAATAATAACATTATATACATGAAAATCTAATACTTAGAATAATTAACATAAATATACTGAAAATAGTGAATATTCATAAAAATAGTGTAAGAATTAACATAAAAATAGTGAATATTCAGCTAATTACAGTATCGCATACAAATTTAACAATAAATCGCTACACTTAACCTATTGATATGATACAGTTATGAGATAGATGTATTTAAAGGTCCTGGTGACAAGATTTACATCTCCAGTAATCTGTCAAGTCTTTAAATCTATCATTTCTCTCACGTCTAGGCCCTCGAAGAGCTGGTCGTTTTAAAATTTTAATGAACTTATTTACTAACGCAGTCACAGAATTCTTCGTAGCATTCTCTGTATCCGCACTTTTAGCGGTAATGCTGACTTTAGTGCAATTTAGCCACTGAAAAGCCTCGTCGATGTACTTATCGATATCACCGGTATCAATCTCAGTATCAGCAGTGTCCTCAAAGGACAACCCTCCATACGATACACTGCGTTCGACGACAGCTTCTTCGACATACTCCTTTCGTCGTTGGATGGTGTTCGTAACCGTGAAGAGATCCTCGATCGATTTGAATATGACATCTATCTTATTATATATTAGTTCCATATGTGCTAATACATGCGCACAACTTTTATTTTTACAAAGACAGTATAGTGTTATTAAAGAAAAGTATGAAAGCTTCTTGAGAAATGTAATGTAAAAATATAATAAAAACTATTCAATTATTCATTCATTTTAGTTATTAATGGGAGTTTACAATTTTATTAATCTTAATGTGTAGGCACATACTTATTTTTTTGATTATTATTTTTTTTACTTTTTTAAATACTTAAAAACTGATTACCATAGTTCGGTTAATCTTAAGGTGTTCCTGTAAAACTTAAGATTTACCAATGTGTAATGGTAATAATCTTAACTTTTCTGTAATCGTTATTGATTTAGAATTTTTAATATCACGCACTCGGTAAATTTTTTGATTTGAATTGTATGACATATGTCAGTCAATTTTTGGCAAATAAGTTGTGTAATATAACTAAAGATTTCGAATCTTAACGGCTAAGCAAGCTTTAATTTGAGAATACTAAATCGGCATCTGGTATATCGATTAATGAGACCACCAAACAGAAGCTTTCCTATATACTGCCTTCGAGGAATTAATATTACTCCCGTAAAAACTCGTACTAGGTAAAACTTTACTTAATCTTTAATTAATAATATGAATTTTTACACCCACGCTAAATCCTGTTTATTAATAACACTGTAGCAGAATTGACCTGCGTTTGTTTTCGACCTCTTTATATAATTAGTTAATTAGTTCTTACAACTTTCCCTATGTTATCTTTAAATGAAACGTGTTTAATGGGTACGTCTTTAGTGTTTTTAATTAAATGAAGTATTTAGTTAAATATAATTGTTGTAAGGTAATTGAATTAACTAATGGATTCTACATTAACTGTATTATATCATTAACCATATTGTAACATAATGTTAATTATATTTACAAAAAGTTTTGGGCTTTTTAAATTATATCATATCATCAGCCCTTTTACGTCCCCACTGCAGGGGCTCAGGCCTTCCTTATGGATGGTTAAGGAGAATGGGCCATGACCCTCCACGCTGGCCCAATGCGGATTGGAGGGTATTAACGACTGCAAATGCAGCCGGGACCAACGGCTTAACGTGCCTTTCGAAGCACGGAGTAGCTCAAGATAATAATTTTTTGGTCACCCATCCCGTGACCGACCCTTGCGAAAGTTGCTTAACGACAATGATCGCGGGCCGCGGCGCTTATCCACTACGCTAGCTACTTTTTAAAAAAAATTAAAAGTTTTTAAATTAAATACTTGTTTTTCGGGTTATTATAGTACAATCTTATCAATCAGCATTCCAAAGATTTATAGTAACTATAAATTCGGAATATTTTGGTAGCGTATTGAACTACTACAACATATTCTTTATGATTTTGGGCAAAAAATCACAATGTTTATATATAACTTATTAAAAAAACATGTACGAAACTATAATAGTAACCGTTGTTTATATTTCGTATTATCGTCGTTTATTTTTGAGAATATCGATCTTAATATTTTTGAATGAGAATAAATATCGAAAACCTTCAATTGCTTTTCTGAAAGCTGTTGTTTGATGGTTATATTAATCGATATACCAGTTGCTGATTTAGTATTCTCAAGTAAAATCTAGCTTGGCCGTTGAGATTATAAATCTTTACTTGCACATATTATTTGCCAAAAAAATGTATTAAAGGCATCATACAATACAAACCAAAAACTTACAGAGTGCGTAATGGTAAATGTTCTAAATGAATAACGATTACAGAACTGTTGCGATATTTACCATTAAACATGGGTAAATCTTAGATTTTACAGGAACATCTTAAGATTAACTTATCTTTGGCAATTTGTTTTTGAGAAGATTTATCAAAAACCATAATAAGTATGTGCCTACACATTAAGATTAATAATTTTTTTAACTGACAATAATAACCGAAATGAATGAATAACTGAATATTTTTTATTATATTTTTACAGTCACACTTTTCAAGGAGTTTTCTTCCTATTCTTTAATTTCATCATAACATTATACAGCCATTGTAAAAATAAAAATTGTGCGCATGCATTAGCACATATACTTATGAAGACGCGTGACCGCCGACCAATCACAGCGCAGCGCGCCTAGAGGACTATTTAAGACCCAGCATTGCCTAATTCCCGTCATTCTACTTTGAGACACGAAAATGACTTCCATTTTACGCGACGCCAACGATATCCTCGCGACCATCGACCAATGGAGGAAACTTGAAGAAACATGGGGCAATCCCATAGACTTGGACACGGACAGTGAAGAAGGAGACATCCCGTCTTCGCCGCCGCAGCTACATCGATGTACATCGTCATTTCTATTCGACAGCGCGAGGGAGCAAGTCTGGTGCCAGTTTTCCGAGAAATCAGCACTTCTAGATTACACAGAGTTTCTTCAGGGCCTTCAACATGTTGATACGGTGGATGAGCCCAGGAAAGCATCCTACGTTGTCGATGGCCAGATTCTGTCAGCCTTATCTGTGGAACTAATATGTAATAAGATAGATGACATATTCAAACCGATCGAGGATCTCTACACGATTACGAGCACTATGCGACGACGAAAGGAAAATGTCAAAGAAGCTATCGTCGAACGCAGTGTATCGTATGGAGGGTTGTCCTTTGATGACACTGCTGATACCGAGATGGATACCGGTGATATCGATAAATATATCGACGAGGCTTTTCAGGGGCTGAATTCCACTAAAGTCAGCATTACCGCTAAAAGTGCGAATACAGAGAATGCTACGAAGAATTCTGTGACTGCGTTGGTAAATAAGTTCAGTAACATTTTAAAACGACCAGCTCTTCGAGGGCCTAGAAGAAGGCGTGAGAGTAATAATGGATTTCAGGACATGATAGATTACTGGAGAAGTATAACTTGTCACCAGGATCTTTAAATACTTTTTATAATCGACAGCAAGCGCAATGGACTGTAGATAATAATTTAATAAGATAACTTTTAGCAAAGAAAATGATTTATTAATGAACAATGTACAAAAGTATAAGATACAAGAAGAAACATTGACAAAGTCAAAAAGTAAAAAAAAAAGAATTTAAAATAAGTATAAAAGTCTCCTTAAAGAGGTCAGTAATAATATATCAAAAACATGATAATGCTGTCGGCAACACTTTTATTTCATAACTGTATCGTATAATTAGTTTAAGTGTAGCGAATTGTTGCGAATTTTGTATGTAATACTGTAATTAGCTGAATATTTACTACGATTTGTTTTCTATGTTAATTATTTAAGTATTAGATTTTCATGAAAATTATGTAATTAGTTTTAGTCTATCCATTCTCCTTTTAGTATCCCAAGTATGTATTTTTTTTATTTAATAAATAATATCTAATAAATAAATTATTTTAAATAGGTTCACAAGTTTCTCATTATTACTGAATATATCAATAATTTAACTTTTAATAACAACGTTATATGAACCTTTGAAAATTTCAAGAAAATATTAACACACAATGGGTCTCTACCAATAAAAGACTATTAAAAAATTAAGGTCCTTAATAGAAAACGTTTTGTTTATGAAATAAGTCCTGTATTGTCTAGGGCGTCGTTAATAGTACAGAAGTTTTTAAATAATAGTCAAACTCAAAATAACAATAACGACTTCTTTGTAATGATGTAGGTCTCGTGGTAATTTTATCTCTTTGCTTTATAACTGTTATTATTGACGAGCTTTTGCCCCCAACTTCGTTAGCGTTGTATTAGTAATGATTTATTTTTAACCAACTTCAAAAAATAAGAATAGGTATTTAACTTGACTGTTTTCTTGTATTCGTGTTGCACATTTTTTTTGTTAAGTTAGTTTAAAACAAATGGGAGAACAACATCGCCAAAACGAACGATGTGGTGGTTGTCACATAGGAACCCCATAATAGAAATGGTTTTTTTTTTTATAAATAAACAGACCTCAAAATCGTAGACCAATATCTAATACGACAAATCAAACTTGATTAGAAATCAACATTTTGTCATCAAATCATCGCCCGAAAGAAGTTTCGTATATTGAATTTATAAGAATTTCGATTACTTTGAAGTTGTTTTTTCTCCAAGTTTACTTTATGTTTAAATTCATATGAAAAATAATAATATGGTTTTAAAGAAATGTAGAAGCAAGTATAAGAATGTAAGTAATTAAAATATCTCCATACAAACTTTACTAAAAGAGGTAGTATATGAAAACTTTATGAGAAGAAAAAATATGTATGACAAAAGAAGAGTAATGTTATAACAGAATTAGACAAAATGTCTGTAAAGTAAAAAAAAAACTAAAATAACCAACAAGAAAAACAAAATTAAAAAAAAGACTGACTGTATTATAGCTTGGCTCAACAAAATTTTCATTGCATTCGTGGGACCGTCTTGTACTACATTTTCTATAGCCAAATCATAATACAGCTTGTTTCTTTGATTTTCAGTTAAATTTTTACAGCCGTGTTTTTAATTTTCAAATTATTAATTTAATTTAGTACCTGTTAGTGAACTGGTTATTATGTTTACAAATTATATATTTTTGGAATATACTCTTTAAGACCTTTACTTTAATACCAATATTGTAATCATCAAAAAAAAAATCGCTGTTTACATTTTTTCAAAAGCTTCTTACATCTGTTATTTTGCATATTTTTTATAAATATATATAGCCAGTGTCACTCGGGATGATTTAACATTTCTAACAAAGTACCTAGTAGATTTTTATAGATATTTTTTTATCATCAACAAAATCGTTGCTTTTTTCTCATATGTTCATTTCAGTTGTAAGATACCATTCAAAATCTAACCATTATGTAATTAGTAGGATGGATAGTTTTGGCAATTTTCTTTTATATTTTTATATCATAGTTGTATTGCGCAAACAACTTTTATAAGTTACGTTTATTAATTTAATTTACCTATTGGTGAATTTGTACTTTTTTATTGCGATCTTTTGATACCGGTCTAAGTCAGAGTTTTAATCAACACACATTTAACTTAACTAATATTACATAAATCGACATTACTCTCAGGTTGATAATTTCAACTTTTTGAAAATAAGATTTAAGTGATGATATAGGTCAAAACCGAACACAGTTTCTTTCCTAATAAGCAAAAACGGATCCCTCCCCGTAATGCCAGGTAGCACTTGTGTCACCCATAACGTTGAGAATTGCAAAATCGGCACGTGGACATTATAACACCTGCATGACTCTACCATTGCCTGAAAACCCAGCAGGTCAATTCAGCGTATGTTTACGTAATAATCGTATCTCAATAGAATCCCAACAGTCCAATATTATGCGTGCAATGCAAACTCGTCAATGGTGATAGATAATATTATTGGACTTCATGTAGATAGTTCAATGGTAAAATGCAAACCGTTGAGATTCTATTGAGGAGTTGAGTTTTAAACATGAGCAGTGTTACAAATATACAAAATTTAGCGTCAGAGTTAATTTACGCCAAAATTGTAATTTTAGTATTAGTCCAAATTGAGATTATAGAGTGTGTAAGAAAACCTTCTATGAGTAAATATTACTACCGTATAACCTCGTATTAGGTTAAGCTTTACTAAATTTCTGTTTAATTATATGAATTTTGACTGTAAGTGCAGTGTTAGTGTATATTTAGACAACGCTGAATTTTGTTTATTAATAACACTGTAGCAGAATTGACCTGCTGAACGTTTTACTGAATAGTTTCCAGAACACTTTAAAATACTATAAATAAAAGCTAGTTCTCGTTGATGTCTTTTATTCATTCAAACAAGTCACAAATCGCAAACTTTCATTGAATCGTTTGATCTCTTATGACAACAATAAGCCGTATTTATGACCTCTGACACTGTTCAGAAATTATGAAAAGCAAATGGCATCCATTTAATAAACAATAAAATAAGTTATCTGCAGCCGAAGGTCTTAAAAAAAAGCAAATTTTAATAGACTAAATTTAATTATAAAAGAATTACAAGTAAAGTATGATAATGCTTCGAAGTGTGAAACAAATATGAATTATAATATTTAATTTTGACGGAAACGCTGGTGGTGTTGCAATGCCTGTCACGTTCCGCTGACGCTGCGCCTCGTGCCGCCTGGTGCCGTGTGCATTGTTGATCGGTGTCGATGCTGACTTGGCGATTGTCATATATTAGGCGTCCGTAACACCTCCCCTCGTAGAACAGCCTCCACCGAAGATTTTAGTTGTAAATTGAGGTGGTGGTTGGTTTCTTCTTAATTTCGGTACTGGATCTGCGTAAATCTGTTTCGTGTTAATTTCATCTTCGGGAATTTTTACAGCGGTAATTCTTCTGAAGTATTTGCGATATAGCACTGTAATAGCGAGTGCACATGTAATGATCACTACTATGTATAATGGTATTGTAGTATGATACAAAGTGTAATCTCGAGTCTGGAAGTGAACAGCTCGCTGTTGAGAGATTTTCATATCGGTTGCATGAAGATGCTGTAGGTTCATAGAGTTAAGTTTCAGTGCGGCGGTTGGTGGTGGGATGACATCTGCTTCTTGGGGTAGATCCATTATCTTAAGCACGTGACCCTTTAATCGATCTTTAGTGTTGGAGATGGTTAGCTGCGGTGTCTTCATGTAACAGTTCTGTGGTATGACGGCGAGATAACTGCCTTGGTATTCTTTATATAGATCTTGTCCGCATGAGAGATGAACTTTTGTTGGTACAGGGAAGCTGACGGTGTAATGTCTGTCGTCCAATTCTTCATATGCGGGCTGTTCGAGTTCGACGTTAACGGGATTGCATATTGTACTACGTTGTTGAGTAGTAATAAGTTGATGAATGCAATCTTGAGCTGGAAGAATCTGCAGGCTCCTTTCTTCTTCGCATAAGAACCATTTACTGGTCTTCGGACATTCTGTCTCTATGTGCTTAAAATCTTTCTCGTGGACAGCTAGGAATGGGGAAGGAGGAATAAGGATTTGGTGGAGTTTATTGGGAATAACTGATAGTTTATATAAATCATATATATGTAATTTATAAATGGGAAATTTATAGACTATAACTATTTCGTTTCCTATATAATATGAACCTAGCTTAATTATATCATAATATTCTCTTATATCTAAGTCTACTACTTTATCGCTCCCGTATATTATCTTCAATTTGTTAATGAGATTACGAATCTCGTTTAAGGAAAGAAATGAATGATGCATGGTGGAGATTCTAGTAAACGCTAAAATATTTTGTAATCTAGTCAATTCCTGTGATATTGAATCTACATTATCGCTGAGTATTAGAAGTATCTGTGCGAGATGGGCATATTTAATAAGATCATAATCTCTGGTGGCATCACTATCTGTAATTTTATTAATAAGACTTTGCATCTTTTCTTGATTGCCAACTATGGTATGTATAATTTTAGTATATTGTGAGGTTATATCTTTAGTCAAACTAACATGATTATTAAATTCCGTTAATAACTTATTTTCATTATCCTGAATCTCTTTAATAGCATTGTTATAGTGCAAAGCGTCTGTATAGTCCAGATTACCAGTAATGCTTTTAACTATCGATCCGAGACCATCAATGAGTCCTCTTTTAGAGCGGTTTTCTTCAAAGGTTTGTAATTGTTCTGATATACTATTAACTTTAGAATTTAAATAATTTATGTGAGGTTCAAATAAGGCATTCGTTTTATTATGGAGTTCAAAAGTATTGTTATTTAATTGAATAAGTATAGAATCTATTTGTTCTTGTAATGTGTGCAAATTAACATATTGTAAGAAAGAATGGTAATGAGATAATATTCTACTAGAGCCTAATTTAAAAGGAAGTACACCGGGGCCATTATCGAGACTTTCAAGTCTTATTTCCTGTGTTATCGTTGCTGGCAGGATCAGAAGAAGTGCCGGGATCGTCCTGTAACAATTTTGAGCTATTAGGGATTCTTTTTAACCTATTTTTGGCCACGGGGCCGCGCCTTTTCTTTGTATAAATATGAATGGGAAGATCTGCCATTACCGTGTCTTGTGTATAACGTGGTGCTAACTTTTGACGGGATGCTATTGGGTTTTTAATAAATATTTGTTGCTCGGGGCAGTAATCAATTTCGGGTTCCCTATTTTTATTGCGGTTGGTCATAATTTCTCTACGGGCGTCAGTACTGAGATCTTGAATTAGATTATAAGTTTTGGTCATTTTATCTTTATGGTTAGTCATATACTGTTGTAATAAGTGAGTAGTAAGATCTATG